GCGCCACATTTGTCCGATCAGAAGCGCCCTTGACCATGATCAAGTCCTCTCCCGCGTGGCTCTTAACAAAATCCGCACCTTCTTCCCCCCGCCGTTCGTCTAGAGCGTGAGAGGCGCCGAGCACGTGATGAGGAGACGTCCGGGGATGATCATGCTTCACCTGGACTCCGTTGAAGCCGGGCTGCGGTTTCCACTTCATGCATTTTATGTGGAGTTCTTCCACTGTTTCCAGGTGGCCCCGGCGCAATTCATGCCAAACTCTTATAGGTTCATATCGGCCTTCTTGGTGCGCTGCAAGCTTGCGGGAGTCGATGCCACCTTGGATCTGTTCCACTACTTCTTCCGGATCACTCCTCAGAATTCCGACGGTTATCTGAGCGTGGCCGCACGTCGGGGGAGGAGGCTGTTTAAGAGCTACCCCTCCTCCATTCATGATTGGAAAAACCGGTTCTTCTTCCTCCGTTATGACGGCCCTCCCCTCCCAGTTCGTTGGAATGGCTATCCCCCAAAGATAGAATCGCCGGAGTTGACCGATGATATGAGCGAGGTCGTGGAGGAAATCCTGCAGGGCGGCATTCGCCCCATAGCCGGTTATCTGACCTTCGAGGCACTCTCGGGGGCAGGCATAGGTACCGCCCGTGTCCCTGGACTCTTTTTCCACCCTTCGACGCTCGTCTCGGGGCACCAGGCGGTCCTGTCCTTCGAGGTGAGTGTCTTGTCGTATTCTCCGTTCGTCCTTTAACCCTTTATTGTTTACTGCAGGTTCTCCACCAGATAGAGCTCAGATGAATCACGCTGAGTGTCTGAAGACAAGGAAGGCCAAGGCGGCCGCTGCTAAAGCCGCAATGGCGAAGGCCAAGATCGCCCCCTCCTCGGATTCCAACTCTTCGGCTTCCGATGCTGCCCGGCGAACGGCTGAGGGTGAGCAGCACCTAATCGCCACCATGCTGGCACAGGGGTCCGGGGCCCCTGCTCTCGAGGCTGCCCTTCCACCGCCGGTCGTCCCCACGAAGGCGGCTCCTCAGAAGGGGATAGAGAAGGTCCCCGAAAAGAAGCTGAAGAGGGGCCGTGAGGCAGGCTCCACCGGCCCTGTGCTTGAAGATGCCGGCTCCCTCCCTTTGAGCCGTCCGGCGGAAAAGCTTTGGAGGGAGATGGCCCTCAAAGCCGGTCTCGAGCTGCCTCGCCGTTCGTCGTCCGAGGCGACTAGTGCTGCCCTGGCAGCCGCTCTTCAGGTACCCCCTCTTTACCAGATCCGAGTACATATTTCCCTTGACGTTCATTTTCTGACCATTGTCTTTATTTTTCCTTCTGTCACCCAGTCTGGGCTTCTAGTCCTTCAAGCTGAAGCTGCTAGGGAGGCCGACCTGAGAGAGATCAGGGCCAAGGCCGATGCGGCTGTTGCCACAGCCCGGGAGGCCGCTCGTCGAGCTGAGGCGGATGCTGCGGCCAAGGGAAGGGAGATTGCAGCCCTGCAGGCTGAATCTCGCAGCCAGCTGGCCGGCCTTGAGAGAGCCGACTTTAAACTTGTCCCGGTGCTCCCTGCTGCCAAGGATGCCACCCCGGAGTGGCTGGTCGACACCTCCGGCTACAGGAACACCGGGGAATTTATGGACTCCGCCAAGGATTACTGCGCCGGGGCCTTCGGCGATGTGTTCTCTGCGGCGCTGGCGAAGATCCCGCCCCGGCAGCGTCTGGCGTGCGGCGTCCGGATTTTGGAGAGCTCCCCCCTATCTCACAAGTTCCTCTATGAGGTCGGCGACAGCACCTTCGCCGCTGGCTACAATGAGGGGTTTAAGGCCACCCTCCCCATCTTCTCGAGGTTACAAGGGGCCGACTTCGAGCTGGCTGCGAATACAGATGACGATCTGCTGCTCCAGGCTCTAGGGAAGCTGGCGAGGGACCAACGCCGGGAGGAGGCCAAGGCCAGAGGGGAGATTCCAGAACCCCCAACCCCCGAGCCCGAAACTGAAGAGGAGGAGCAGATCCCGGGAGGCAGCCGGCCTGAGTCCCCTTTTATGGTGTAAATGTAATTTGTACTTCTTTCCATTTTGTGTTTGTAATGCCCGGCTGTTAGAGCCGAAGAATATACATGCTTTTTTGCCCACAATTGCTTCTACGTTCATGATCTTTGCTCGTTATTTTTGTTTTCTTCTTCGTCTGTTGTATGGAATCTTCTTCGGTGCCTTATTACACTCTTGATGCAAAGTTGAAGTCTGTGGAGACGTTCGTATCTGTTCCTTATTTTGTTTAGGGCAACGGCGTCTCCTTGCCATACCTCCGTACGTACTCAAGTGTGCGGATGTACTGCCAGAGCTCGTCTTCGGGTGACGACGCTCGGCGCCGAGGCCGGCATCCGTATTCTTATAGCGACGTCCGCCTTGCAAGTGCGGGCACACCACCAACCGCCGTCCGTAGCTATTCTCTATGTTGCGAGACGACGTTCGTCAGTGGTTGCCTCCATGGTCAGTAGTAAACTTCTCAAGTATGGAGTTATGAACGTACTCCCAGGGCCGTCATTTGATGACGACGTTCATCCGTCGTATGCGTAGACACGGATATTCATACTGCTCATGTCCTACCCAAGCTTCGTGCGGAGTGCGTTCGGCGTGGTCTAAATGTTCCCGTAGACACGAACGTAGTCTGCTGATGCGTAAGCCCCCATAAGCTGCCGATTTTAGGATCAGCCGATGGTCGCGATCTCTGGCGTCCCGAGTTCCTCGCTGGACGTCCGTGGCCCCGATCCGGCTTCCCTTGCCATGATTATGCGGCGACGGAATCGAGGCACCTTAAATACCGTGGTAGGTACCGGTAGCTGGGTGCCACGTGTTCCACTTCGGTTGGTGGGATTCCACGGTGCTGCTTATAAGTACCCAGAGACCATGTGATTCATTCACACTTCTCCTTACGCTGCACAATTGCTTCCTCTCTCTAGAGTTCTTTTCTCGGATTTCTAAGGTACCGTTCGTTGCCATGTCTTCTGAGACTCGTTTCGACGATGGTTGTTCCTCTGGCGATGACTTAGAATACTATGAGCGGGGAATGCCGCCTCGCCCTCCCCGTTATAGCCTCAGCTTCTCGTGCGTCCGGCGTCAAACTCAACGCCTGACGAACGCTGACAAGTGTATGATCAGCCAATGGTTCTATCCCTCAAGGACCTACGACGATCGACGTCTGCGCAATCCCATGCACCACCTGCCCGGCTATGTGGTGGTCCATTTGGATTCGGTGATAGCCGGGCTGAACTTCCCCTTACACAGCTTCCACTTGGAGCTCTTCAGGGCCCTTGAGATAGTGCTTGCGCAGTTCGTCCCTGCCGCCTATCGGATAATCGCCGGCTTCATCATTAGATGCCACAGTGTCGGTGTGACCCCCACCGTGGACCTTCTGCACCATTTCTTCCGGCTGTCCCCCTTCGGACGCACGGGGTATTTGACCCTGATCGCCCGTCCGTCCATGGTCCTGTTCTCGAACAATGCTGGGAATCCGGACGGCTGGGAAGGGCGCTTCTTCCTGGCCGGAATAGGCTCACCGATGCCATTCTTTGACCGGTGGAATGCTTACCCGGTGAAGACGATTCCACCGCCCATGACGGACGAGGAGCTCGGATATGCCAAGCGCATAGCCGGACTTGGCATCCAGAACCTCCGGTTGCTGGTGGCCGAACCTTTTAAAGCTCAGGCTGGGTTAGGTGCGTCCGTTTGTACTTGTATTATTTTAACATCTCTTCGCTGTTATGGCTCTGAACGTCTTGGTTCCCTTTGTGCAAGAATTTTTCCATCCATGTCTGCCATGGGTCGTGCCAACACCGCTTCGACTGCCGCCGGCCGTGAGCACAAGGACCACCGCAAGTCGGAGGGGCCGCTCGTCCCCAAGGTCGAAACACAGATGACCAGGTCATGGGCCGATGATGTTCCTGGGGCCGGTGCTTCCAAGAAGCCGCGCGTCGAGGGTACTGCCTCCAAGGCCATCATAGTGGCCGACGACTCTGATGGGGATCCCGGGAGTCCCCTCAAGAGGAAAACCACTTCCCGGATCAAGCCCCGTGCTTCTCCTCCGCGGAATTCTGACGTCCGCCGTCTTCGGGATGAGGATGCCCCAACTGCCAAGGGTTCTGACGACGTTCGTCCTCTCTCACCCCCAGAAACCAATGGGTCCTCCTTTGGCTTGATTGAATTCTCCGGGGTTGGTCCCCGCAAGGAGTCGATGATGCTCTTTGGCCAAACAGCATCCTCCATATGGTGTGGCCTGAATCTCAAGGTCCCCCAGGACTTCGCTGCTCAGGAGGCCCCTGAAGACCTCTTGGAGTGTGGCCAGAGCACCCTGGATAAGGCCGGGCTCTACTTTCATAGGGCTCGGATGGCCTTCGAGCACCAGGGCAGGGAGATGGCCAGAGTACGGGCTGAATGTGATGCCCTTCTGAGGAATGCTAAAGGCAGGGCTGGGACTCTTCAAGAGAAAGCCGATGCCTATGATAAGCTCGTCCAGGAGAATGCCTCCCAGAAGGAGCTCCTCAGGAGGCAGGAGGTTGAGCTTGTGGATCTCCGTAGCCGTATGTGGGCCGTAGAACAGGCCAAGGTGGAGCTCCGCCAGACGGGCGTGGACAATCATGTCCCTATTTATGAGGCCGATGTTGCCAAAATCAAGGAATCTGGATCCATAGCGTTCCAAAAATCCAAGGCTTACACTGGCGCCATTCACACCATGGCCATGAAGTTTCTCCCGAGGCTCGTCGGCGAGTTCTTAGCCACCTGCCCTAACGCCTATCTGGATGGGGTTAAGTTACTCCAGGCCACCCCCACCGGACGGCGTTTCCTTGATGATCTTGCCGATGATACCTACCGCAAGGGCATGGTTGGGCTGGTAGCAGAGAATCTCCCGGCGTTCGAGCGTCACTTCGGGGCTCCTTTTGATCCGGAGGCCGCCAGTTTTGACTTCCTAATGGCGGACGCTCATGCAGGGGCCCTCGAACTGCTAAAGGAGCGGAGAGAACAGGTGTCACGCCCCAGACCGCAATCCAAGCGCGTGTACAACCGCCGTATAATTAAGTGACGTCACCCGCGAGTCAACCTCACTTAATTACACAAGGCGTTCGAGAAAACAATCCATCCATACTCAGTAGTAAACATACATAACAACATCACATTTAAACCAATGAATAGCGGAAATATTCAACGGTAAGTCATAAGCCACAACCGGCCAACAACATGGGCATGCAAGCCCCAAAAATAGTTTATAGTAGAACAAATATCCATGAGCAAGTGTTCGGTAGTTTGAAAGAAAATAAGGAAGCACGAACCACGTCTTCCTGAATTGATATCACCCGTAAGAAGGTGCAAGTAGCAAGCCCTAGCTTCAACCTGAAAATGGTGGGGCCCCCCGAAGGGGTCAGTACAAGTACCGAGCGAGTAGCAGGCTAAATATAGAATAACTAGCGTTTCAAGTATAAGACCCAAACATAGGGTGATACTTAAATAAGTAGTCTTTCCCCCAAGTTATGAAATACTTATTAGTATATATACTTGGAAAATATCCGATCCGTAGATCACCATTTTATTTGGGAAAAATAGTAATAGTCAATATTCTTGACTAAAAACCCCAACCCACCCATATACCTATGAGGGTATAGGACTCCTCCTAGTCGCTATTTCAATATCATAATCTATGAGTTTTAGGATCATAATCCTTGGGTACTCCACCGGTTTGTGAGTGTTAAGGACTCATAAGTCCTAGGGTCCTCCACCAAGTTTTGAGTGTTAAGTACTTTTAAGTACTAGGGTCCTCCACCGAGTTTGAGTGTTAAGTACTTTTAAGTACTAGGGTCCTCCACCAAGTTTTGAGTGTTAAGTACTTTTTAAGTACTAGGGTCCTCCACCAAGTTTGAGTGTTAAGTACTTTTAAGTACTAGGGTCCTCCACCAAGTTTTGAGTGTTAAGTACTTTTTAAGTACTAGGGTCCTCCACCAAGTTTGAGTGTTAAGTACTTTTTAAGTACTAGGGTCCTCCACCAAGTTTGAGTGTTAAGTACTTTTTAAGTACTAGGGTCCTCCACCAAGTTTTGAGTGTTAAGTACTTTTTAAGTACTAGGGTCCTCCACCAAGTTTTGAGTGTTAAGTACTTTTTAAGTACTAGGGTCCCCCACCAAGTTTTGAGTGTTAAGTACTTTTTAAGTACTAGGGTCCTCCACCAAGTTTTCCTATGATCAACCTCCTATCAACCTAGATAGAGTCTATATCATACTTAGTTACTCATAACTAATCCAATACATAAATCTTATGTATCACTATCCATGCAAAACCATGCATTTATATAGATTTATAATTAATTAATACCAACCGGTATTAATTAAATCATTTGTTCTTCGGTCCACGTTTTCGTTGACCGCCATTTCATGCCTTGTGTGTATCAACTTAATCGTCATATAATTAAGTTAATAATATTCATTTGTGCTTCTAATACACTTCAAGCAAATATGCATTTCATATAATTCTTCATATCATATTCCATGCATCAACAATTAATTTCTTTCATACAAGCTTAACCCTATTGGCTAATCACATGTTTAAATATCTTTTAAACATCATTATGAACTCATATAACATTTATTTAGGTAATCTCATAATTAACCTAAAAGTTATAAGATATTAAGCCGTCCACTCACCTTGAACTAGCGTTATGAAGTTCTACCCTTCTTGGTTGAACTCCGGTGAAACTCCGGCGACTTTTGGTCAACTCCGGCGACAACTCCGGCGACTTTTCCAACTTTGTGAAATCACTTGAAATACCCTTTACAAGTGCCTAACAAGGTTTTATAATCATAAAACCCATATTAATACAAATAACCTCAAAAAGGTTATTTTCCGGTGAACCGGTTATTTTGGCTCCTAAGTCCGTTCTTGGACATAGAACCACCTTTCAACCCATAAATCCATACTTATAACATGTGTAACCATGCTAAAGGTCCTTAATATGATATATACTTCATATGGTAGAAGAAAATTAAAGGAAAAGTTATAATAAGGTCATTACCTTAATTAATCACACTTTTCCCAACCTTTTTCCTTCTTTTATCTTCCTCCTTGGACTACTTTAGGTTGAGTTCGAATCTTGGATATGGAAGATGAAGTTTCAGAGCTTATTCTCCTCCTCTCCTTGGTGCTGGCCGAACAACAATGATGGGGAAAGAGGGGGGTTCACTTTTTGTCTTGATTGGCAAATAATGTGATGGGAGGGGGGTCATCTATGTACCTTAGATGCCAATCCCATCTCTTCAGCTCCCTACCTTGTCTATCCAGCCCCCCTTAGGTCAATTAGAGCACACAAAAACGTGGGGTGGCCCCCACTCATGTGGGAGGTCATCCCTTTGTGTCCCTGTGTGTACAATTGGTGCCGAAAGTTGTATTTTTCGGACTGTTTAATCATATTTTATTTTATCGGGTAAAATAAAATATATTATGTGTTCTCAATCATAACGACCTCTTGAAATAATATATATTCCAAAACTTTAATTTAGAAGTCCCCGAAATTCATTTTCGGGCTGTTATCCGTTAAATTGTCGGTATCGGTAATTGGACTTCTTTTGACCAATCGGTCAACCCCAGGCCTTCCCATGACCCAAATAAGATATCCACCACTATATAAATATTATTTCGACCCATAAGAATAATTTATGTGATCTCGGAAATATCGGGCGGCCCCCGCTCCCGGTATGGGCCCCACGTGCAAATTTACTATTCACGCGAAAGAAATAATAAAAATTTACAACTTCGTAAATTCATCAATCCTTTAATAAGGTTCAATACCTTATTTACATAAAAATAAATATATTTGGGGACGGTGTTACAAGTTCACCCCCCCTTATTTGGGATTTCGTCCCCGAAATCCAAGTGTCTACTCGAAAAGAAATGGATATTGCTCCCTTATTGAGACCTCGGTCTCCCAAGTTTCTTCTTCGACTCGATCACTCCTCCAAAGAACTTTTACCATAGGAATCTCCTTATTCCTAAGCTTCTTCACTTGTTGACCTACTATCTTCGCCGGCTCTACCGCATATTGCAAATCCTCGCGGATCTCTACCGGCGGTTTCTCAAGAATATGAGATGGGTCCCGTATGTACTTCTTCAGCATCGATACATGAAACACGTCATGTATCTTTTCAAGTTCTGGTGTCAACTTGAGAGGGTAAGCCACGGCCCCTATCCTTTCAAGGATTTCAAATGGACCGATGTATCGGGGGTTAAGCTTTCCCCTCGATACAAATCGAATGATGCCCTTCCAAGGAGAAATCCTTAGAAAAACTTCATCATCGACTTCGAATTCTAATGGTCTCCGCCGTTTATCAGCATAACTCTTCTGTCGGTCTTGAGCAGCCTTCAGTCTCTCCTGAATGATCCTCACCTTGGCCTTGGTGATCTCAACCAGCTCTATCCCTTCGAGTTTGGCCTCACCAACCTCGTCCCAACACAACGGTGTTCTGCATTTCCTCCCATACAATGCCTCATATGGAGGCATGCCGATACTTGCTTGATAACTGTTGTTATAAGCAAACTCCACTAGAGCCAAATGCTTGTCCCAACTTCCTTGGAACTCCAAAGCACATGCCCTAAGCATGTCTTCCAAAATCTGTATCACCCGTTCGGACTGTCCATCCGTCTGTGGGTGAAAGGATGTGCTAAACTTCAGTTTAGTACCCAATGCTGCTTGAAACTTTGGCCAAAATCGGGATGTGAATCGTGGATCCCTATCCGAGACAATGGATATCGGGACTTCATGTAATCTCACAATCTCCTTCGTGTAGAGCTTGGCCAATCAATCTTTCAAGAGGATAAGTAATGTTGATAGGCAGAAAGTGTGCACTCTTGGTGAGCCTATCAACCACTACCCATACTGCGTCATAGTTGTTCACTGTTCGTGGTAGCCCCACCACGAAGTCCATGGTCACGTGCTCCCACTTCCACTCTGGGATGGTAAGTGGTTGCAAAAGCCCCGCCGGGTGCTGATGCTCCGCCTTAACTTGCTGGCAAGTAAGGCACCGACTCACATATTCTGCGATGTCTCTCTTCATACCTGACCACCAGTAACTCTCCTTCAAATCTCGGTACATCTTAGTGCCTCCTGGATGCATAGCATAAGCTGAAGAATGAGCCTCCTCAAGTATGGACTTCTGGAGGTCTTCATTCTTTGGTATGCATACACGATCCTTAAACAATAATAGACCGTCATCACGTACCCGGAAGTTCTCAACGGGCCCCGCAAGGGTCCTTTCACGGATCTTCTGACATTCCTCATCCATGGCCTGACTTCGACTAATCTCGCCCAATAGGGTGGGCCTAACCTCGAATCGAGCAATGAGAGCCCCACATGTGGACACCTCCACGCGTGCCCTCAATGCCTGTAGACATGTGAGTAGTGTCCCTGACGTACTCTTCCTGCTCAGTGCGTCGGCCACTACATTGGCTTTCCCGGGATGATAGTCGATGATCAAGTCGTAGTCCTTGATCAACTCCATCCATCTCCTCTGTCTCATATTCAACTCTTTCTGAGTGAATACGTACTTCAAGCTCTTATGATCAGTGTAAATGTGACACGTCTCCCCGTAGAGATAATGCCTCCAAATCTTCAATGCAAACACTACCGCCCCCAGCTCAAGATCGTGAGTAGGGTAGTTCACCTCGTGTTTCCTCAATTGCCTAGAAGCATAGACAATTACTTTACTGTTTTGCATTAGCACACATCCAAGCCCTTGGATGCTAGCATCGCTGTAGATATCATACCCTATCCCCTGTATGTGTAGGGCAAGGACTGGTGCTTCGGTAAGTCGCTTCTTCAGTTCAAGGAACCCTTTCTCACACTTGTCGTCCCATATGAACTTGGCCCCTTTCTTTGTGAGCTTCGTTAATGGAGACGCCAATACGGAAAATCTTTCAACAAATTTACGATAGTATCCCGCTAAGCCAAGGAAACTACGTATCTCTTTCACATTCTTGGGTCTCTCCCAATCCATAATAGCTTTAATCTTGGCGTTATCCACGGCAACGCCCGAACCGGATATGACATGACCGAGGAAACCAATCTCTTTGAGCCAAAATTCGCATTTAGAGAACTTGGCAAAAAGTTGCTTTTCCCTTAGCCGATCAAGTACAAGTCTCAAATGACGTTCGTGCTCCTGCTCGCTCTTGGAATATATCAAGATATCAACAATGAATATTATCACAAATTGATCTAAGTATTCACTAAACACACGCTTCATCAAGTCCCTGAATGCCGCCGGTGCGTTAGTTAAACCAAATGACATCACAAGGAATTCGTAATGACCATATCTAGTGCGAAATGCACTCTTAGGTATGTCGCTCTCCTTGATCTTCAACTGATGATACCCCGACCTTAAATCAATCTTCGAGAACACCATTGCCCCCCGAAGTTGATCAAACAAGTCATCAATCCTCGGTAAGGGATACCTGTTCTTGATTGTGACCTTGTTCACTTGTCGGTAGTCAATACACATTCTTAGTGTACCATCCTTCTTCTTCACGAAGAGTACGGGTGCCTCCCACGGTGAATGACTAGGTCTGATGAACCTGTTGTTCAATAATTCTTGTAGTTGGACCTTCAACTCTTGAAGTTCGGCCGGTGCCATTCGATATGGGGGAATCGAAATGGGTTTGGTTCCCGGATCCACTTCAATTACAAATTCGATCTCTCTATCGGGTGGAAGCCCCGGTAGGTCTTCGGGAAAGACATCCGGGTACTTGCACACGACTCGTACATCTTTGATGTCGACTTCCTTCTTGGTATCGTCCACCACGTAGGCAAGGTATGTGTGGCATCCCTTCCTCATCATCTTCCGTGCTCTCATCACGGATATGATACAAGCATTAGATTTCCCCCGATCTCCCTCGAAACATAGTGTGTTTCCTTGATCATCCTCGAGCTCCAACACCTTGGTGTAGCAATCTACTCGAGCATGGTGTTTCTCGAGCCAATACATCCCTAGGATTGCATCGAACTCCAACATGCTTAGAGGTACGAAATCACAAGTCAAAGGTTGACCCGTCACTTCTACCTCACACGACGGATAGTAATGATTTCTCTCCACGTCGTCTCCTAACGGTGTGGAGACTAGCAACGTTTGCGTCATAGGTGTCAATGGCACGTCAAGGCCCTCGGCGAACGCCTCACTCACAAATGAGCGTTGTGCCCTGGTATCGATGAGGATCCTCGCACACCTACCATTGATCTTTAATGTTCCTACATTTATCCACCATGTAAGATACCTTTCTTAATGTTTTTACACGCTATTAGGAGGTTATTAGGTTCACACTAATGTTTGGAATCAAACGGGGGTCCAAACGTAGAAGAACGGGGCGAACAAATCAAGTTTCGGGTGTTGGGGGTCCACGCACGGCGTGCCTGGGTGGCACGCACGGCCGTGCGTGCATCAGAATCACCCTGCTCGCCACTGCCGTCCAGGCACGGCGTGCCTGCAGGTCACGCACGGCGTGCCTGCATGGTCACGCACGGCGTGCGTCCGGCTGAATTCCTGGAGAGCTACTGCCTTCCAGGCGCGACGCTCCCACAAGGCCAGGCACGGCGTGCCTGTGCAGCACGCACGGCGTGCCTGCAAGCGTGCCTGGCGGGCAGTAGCCGTTTTCAGTCCGTTTTGGCCTAAATTCACCCGGTTTGACCCCGAGGTGGCCCGCACTCAATCCCTTTGACTTATATGATCATAGTAAGCCTAGAAACACATGGAAATACGTGTATTACCTGTAACGGAGTCCGGGTTTGCTCGCACATCCGCCTCGGTCATTGCGTAGACCCTTACTTGGGCCCCGCCTTGATTGACGGACGTAGCGTTGCTCGTCGTTGGTCCCGTTTAGTTTCCTTCCACGGTGAGCCCTTCATCGGCTTGCGATGTTTCTCGTTGTCTCCTCCATGGGCAGCTTAATTTCATATGGGTTGTGCTCCCACATTCGTAGCACATCGGGGGCTCGTTGCACTTTCCGAAATGCTTCTTAGAGCAATTCGAACATTTGGATGATCTTAAAGAGTAAGGAAAGGACGCATGCCACTTTGAGTTCCTTTTCTTTTTCACCGGTGATGCTAGTGCCGTAAAAGTGCTTTCTCCTCCTTGGTCGTTTGCCCAAGGATGGGTTTGACTGGCAGTCATATCACGTTGGGAGGTGGCCCGATCTCGCCTAGCCTGACGCTTACGTTCATTCCTCCTGGTGTTCAGGTTACACATCGAGCCCACGTGACTAGCGCTTGCCGCTTGGCGGCCCTCGCGGCCCCCATGACCTATTCCTCTCCCCGTAAAGGCTCGTGACACAGCCCGGCTAGCCTCAAGGTAAGCTACCGAAGCTTGTCCCTTAGGGTCATTTTTTGTTGCCATTCGCCTACCCTCCATTTCTGAAACGGAATTTGGACGAGTCTTTAGACTCCTATAAATGTCAATTGACGGAAAAACGTTATAGACACGTATTGACCCAAGTCACCACCATACCAATTGTTAAGGGTACCGTCTTAACAATTAGAGGCCTTGCAACTTAAGCACCAATAGTCCTAAAAAACGTCAAAATACAATGCTCATGGTTTTCGGTAAAAACTCTTTTGTAAAATCTTTTGTGAGAGGTTGATTATATAGTTAAGAACTGAGATGGCTCTGATACCACTTAATTGTCACGCCCCAGACCGCAATCCAAGCGCGTGTACAACCGCCGTATAATTAAGTGACGTCACCCGCGAGTCAACCTCACTTAATTACACAAGGCGTTCGAGAAAACAATCCATCCATACTCAGTAGTAAACATACATAACAACATCACATTTAAACCAATGAATAGCGGAAATATTCAACGGTAAGTCATAAGCCACAACCGGCCAACAACATGGGCATGCAAGCCCCAAAAATAGTTTATAGTAGAACAAATATCCATGAGCAAGTGTTCGGTAGTTTGAAAGAAAATAAGGAAGCACGAACCACGTCTTCCTGAATTGATATCACCCGTAAGAAGGTGCAAGTAGCAAGCCCTAGCTTCAACCTGAAAATGGTGGGGCCCCCCGAAGGGGTCAGTACAAGTACCGAGCGAGTAGCAGGCTAAATATAGAATAACTAGCGTTTCAAGTATAAGACCCAAACATAGGGTGATACTTAAATAAGTAGTCTTTCCCCCAAGTTATGAAATACTTATTAGTATATATACTTGGAAAATATCCGATCCGTAGATCACCATTTTATTTGGGAAAAATAGTAATAGTCAATATTCTTGACTAAAAACCCCAACCCACCCATATACCTATGAGGGTATAGGACTCCTCCTAGTCGCTATTTCAATATCATAATCTATGAGTTTTAGGATCATAATCCTTGGGTACTCCACCGGTTTGTGAGTGTTAAGGACTCATAAGTCCTAGGGTCCTCCACCAAGTTTTGAGTGTTAAGTACTTTTAAGTACTAGGGTCCTCCACCGAGTTTGAGTGTTAAGTACTTTTAAGTACTAGGGTCCTCCACCAAGTTTTGAGTGTTAAGTACTTTTTAAGTACTAGGGTCCTCCACCAAGTTTGAGTGTTAAGTACTTTTAAGTACTAGGGTCCTCCACCAAGTTTTGAGTGTTAAGTACTTTTTAAGTACTAGGGTCCTCCACCAAGTTTGAGTGTTAAGTACTTTTTAAGTACTAGGGTCCTCCACCAAGTTTGAGTGTTAAGTACTTTTTAAGTACTAGGGTCCTCCACCAAGTTTTGAGTGTTAAGTACTTTTTAAGTACTAGGGTCCTCCACCAAGTTTTGAGTGTTAAGTACTTTTTAAGTACTAGGGTCCCCCACCAAGTTTTGAGTGTTAAGTACTTTTTAAGTACTAGGGTCCTCCACCAAGTTTTCCTATGATCAACCTCCTATCAACCTAGATAGAGTCTATATCATACTTAGTTACTCATAACTAATCCAATACATAAATCTTATGTATCACTATCCATGCAAAACCATGCATTTATATAGATTTATAATTAATTAATACCAACCGGTATTAATTAAATCATTTGTTCTTCGGTCCACGTTTTCGTTGACCGCCATTTCATGCCTTGTGTGTATCAACTTAATCGTCATATAATTAAGTTAATAATATTCATTTGTGCTTCTAATACACTTCAAGCAAATATGCATTTCATATAATTCTTCATATCATATTCCATGCATCAACAATTAATTTCTTTCATACAAGCTTAACCCTATTGGCTAATCACATGTTTAAATATCTTTTAAACATCATTATGAACTCATATAACATTTATTTAGGTAATCTCATAATTAACCCAAAAGTTATAAGATATTAAGCCGTCCACTCACCTTGAACTAGCGTTATGAAGTTCTACCCTTCTTGGTTGAACTCCGGTGAAACTCCGGCGACTTTTGGTCAACTCCGGCGACAACTCCGGCGACTTTTCCAACTTTGTGAAATCACTTGAAATACCCTTTACAAGTGCCTAACAAGGTTTTATAATCATAAAACCCATATTAATACAAATAACCTCAAAAAGGTTATTTTCCGGTGAACCGGTTATTTTGGCTCCTAAGTCCGTTCTTGGACATAGAACCACCTTTCAACCCATAAATCCATACTTATAACATGTGTAACCATGCTAAAGGTCCTTAATATGATATATACTTCATATGGTAGAAGAAAATTAAAGGAAAAGTTATAATAAGGTCATTACCTTAATTAATCACACTTTTCCCAACCTTTTTCCTTCTTTTATCTTCCTCCTTGGACTACTTTAGGTTGAGTTCGAATCTTGGATATGGAAGATGAAGTTTCAGAGCTTATTCTCCTCCTCTCCTTGGTGCTGGCCGAACAACAATGATGGGGAAAGAGGGGGGTTCACTTTTTGTCTTGATTGGCAAATAATGTGATGGGAGGGGGGTCATCTATGTACCTTAGATGCCAATCCCATCTCTTCAGCTCCCTACCTTGTCTATCCAGCCCCCCTTAGGTCAATTAGAGCACACAAAAACGTGGGGTGGCCCCCACTCATGTGGGAGGTCATCCCTTTGTGTCCCTGTGTGTACAATTGGTGCCGAAAGTTGTATTTTTCGGACTGTTTAATCATATTTTATTTTATCGGGTAAAATAAAATATATTATGTGTTCTCAATCATAACGACCTCTTGAAATAATATATATTCCAAAACTTTAATTTAGAAGTCCCCGAAATTCATTTTCGGGCTGTTATCCGTTAAATTGTCGGTATCGGTAATTGGACTTCTTTTGACCAATCGGTCAACCCCAGGCCTTCCCATGACCCAAATAAGATATCCACCACTATATAAATATTATTTCGACCCATAAGAATAATTTATGTGATCTCGGAAATATCGGGCGGCCCCCGCTCCCGCTATGGGCCCCACGTGCAAATTTACTATTCACGCGAAAGAAATAATAAAAATTTACAACTTCGTAAATTCATCAATCCTTTAATAAGGTTCAATACCTTATTTACATAAAAGTAAATATATTTGGGGACGGTGTTACAACAGGAGGAAGCCGAAGCTAGGGAGAAGGCCAAGCAAACTCTTTTCAAGGCCCCCACTCCGGACGTCGACCAGCAGTGATCCTCCGTTCCTTGTCTTGTACTTGTACCAATTCTTTCCATTATTTGCATTGTACCTCCGCACATTGTAACTTTCCGGCCAATAGTGCCGAAGAATAAAATCATTCTTGCTCCGTGCTCTTCTGGCATCTTTTTTTTTTTGGAGTCTTTTAGTCTTCGTTCGTCCTTGGTTCTTGGTCCTACCGGCGTCCCTACTTCGAAGGATGTCCGGTATCCTTGAAACTCGCAAGGAGGAACAGGTTTATCTACATCGAGATTCCCCCTTTTTTCGTTCGTCCGTGGTCCTTTTAGTCTTACCGGCGTCTCTTGCTTCGAAGAAGACGTTCGGTACCCAAGGAACTCGCAGGGACGAACAGATTTACCCTCACGGGTTCCCGACTTTGTTATCCCACGTCCATCAATCCATGGTCATTGTGAGATAAACAGGTTTATCTTGGCAAGCTCCCTTGGTTCGTCTAGCCCCCTCCGCGTCTCTACTAACCTCTACATCGAGAAGCGTTTGTCTTCGGCAGTGGGGGAAGATCTGGCACGCCCGGGCAAGATTCCCTTCCGTATAGGAGCTACCCTCCTCTTCTCCCCATCTTTTTTTTTAGGGAGGCAATTTATACTCTTCGTTCGTCATTGGTCCTTGGTCCTACCGGCGTTCCTACTTCGAGGAGACGTTCGGTATCCGCAGACATCTCAATGAGGAACAGGTTTATCTGCATCGAGATTCCCTGGTGCTTCGTACGTCCCTGGTCCGGGGTTCGGCCGATGCTTCTTGCCTCGAAGAAGCCGATCGGTGGCCGCGAGACTCACAGGGGCGGACAACTATGTCTACATCGAGATTCCCTTCCTTAACGGTCGTTGGCAAGAACAGAAGTGATGAAAAACAGGGGGCCTTATTATTGACGACGTCCAGTCATTTTACATGGGAGTGGGAATAATATAAGGACAACAGCCTCTAACTATTGATAGAACTTTTTCAGGTGTTCTACGTTCCACATCCCGGCATGGTTCCCCTCCAGGGTATGGAGGAGGAACGTCCCCGGGTTGTATCTTCTAATGACCCGGTAAGGTCCTTCCCAGTTCTTAGCCATTTTGCCACCTTCGAGCGGCTTGCTCTTCTCTCTTTTTCTGAGTACGAGGTCCTCGGCCTCTATTTCGCGGAATTTCACGACCTTGTTGAAGTATCTCTGTGTGGTCCTGTGATACTCTTCCATGCGACGAGCCGCTAGGTCCCTCCGCTCCTCAATGAAGTGGAGCTCCGCTCGTAGGTTGGCCTCGTTGTCCTCCGGCTGGTAGTGCTTGGTGCGATGTGTAGGTACCAGCACCTCCGTCGACACCTTAGCTTGGAACCCATAAGCCAAAGCAAAAGGGGTTTCCCCAGTCGCCGTTCTTGGCGTCGTCCTGTACGTCCACAAGACGTAATTCAGCTGCTCCGGCCAGGTGGAGGTGCAGTCTTCCAACTTCTTCTTGATTCCATCCATGATGGTCCGGTTCATGTTCTCCACCTGGCCGTTGGCCTGCGGGTAGGCCACCGAGGCCTTAGAGTGCCTGATGCCCCACTTTGCCAAGTATGCCTCAAACCCTCTGCCGACGAACTGCCGGCCGTTGTCGGTGACGATCTGCTCCGGGATCCCGAAGCGGCATATGACGTTCTGCCAGACGAACTTCTGGCACTAGAATTCAGTGATGGAGGCCAGTGGCTCGGCCTCCACCCACTTGGTGAAATAATCAATCGCCACAATGACGAATTTCCTTCCTCTAGCGGCCGTTGGCAGAGGACCCAGCAGGTCTATGCCCCATCTAGCAAAAGGTAGTGCGA